AATACATTTATAGTCTATCTTGTTAGTGCTGCGACTTGTAAATTGTAAACAGTTTGTCAGTTGATTCTGGTGAATAGTGAGAATGCTGGATAATGAACTTTTATTCTTTTCAGTTAACTTCTTTTAGTTAACATTTTTCTTGTAGATGTTATTGTCATTAAGTAAATATCCTGGTTTCTAAGCAGAGTAGCTCAGGGGTATTACAACTATGGGACTAACTTGATATTTTATATTATTCTTATGAAAAAATTTAAATTTGTGACTTCGGGGGCATATTTCACATTAAATACTTTTATTCTTTGTGGTATTAGTGAAACAGAATTGAAGATTATTAAAGTACCTTGGCCTTCTGGTTCTTATTTATGACAGGTTAGATTACACAATTAGATTAATCAGCATATTTTCCTAATAAACTAAAAACTTACTGAGATGTAAATGAGGCTTTACAGAATTTGATATCTATCTAGGATGTTCCTGATGAAGAACAGTAAAGCTAGAAAGTAACAGATGCTTATGATAACATACTGTTATTAAAATATCTTCAAAATAACTGGAGGTTTAAATAATATCAAACTAAAAGATTATTTCTTCAGATGTCAATTTATTCCAAGTGGTTATTTAATAATTTACAGTGAGAACACAAATTTTAACAGACTACCTATTGTATAAAGGATAAAATCTTGGTCATGTAAAATAACTATGTAACTTACCAAATTATCATATTATCTTTATAGCTCATGGGTCATTCAGAATGGGACCACAAGCGTGGACCTCGAGGATCACAGGTAAGTTTGTCTTCCTTTCCTTTTTCACTTTTTGTTTTGTAATGCTTTGAGCCAGGGGTTTTCTGAAACTCAAGAAATAATAATATGTAGAGGAAGGAAGAGACAAAATAATCATGCCATTTGTTTTTATTTAAGTTAGCTGTAATTAAAGTCTGGATTTCAAACCCCAAAGATGATGTGAATATATATTCTTAGGAACTTTCTGGCATTCCAGATCGCCTGTGTTTATATGAATGCAGATTTTATACTCATCTTGTTTCTGCAGAAAACATTTGATCAGCTACCCACTCTTGATTTTCTTCACTTCCTTTGATAATTTTTCTATGTATTTTTCCCCCTCAATCTTCCTGCTTTTGGTTAAATATTTTGAAATATAATCAGGGTGAACTGAACTAATTAGCTCTCTCTAAATTAGCTGTCTTCATCTATGGGAAGTAGAAAGATGAAAGGACTTATTACTTTTGAAAAGAAACAAATTCTAAACCTTTCTATATTACCAGACTGTTTTCATTGTCTTACTTTATGTCTTAGGCAAAGAGAAAAGCTTCCATGACGCATTTATGCTTTTTAATGACCTAATTAGACAATGTGGATTTGTTTTGCTTTCATAATTATTCTGCCCAACAGAATAAAGGCTGAGTTTTACACTAAGAAAATAATCTGTCCTCCTAGGGTATTTTGTAAAGAAATAAGAGTAATTTTTCTCATAGCCTATGTTTACCTGACTATAAACATACCAAATAAAACTTAAGTGGGTGGAACTTTTTACCTCTACTGTTCACATTTTGCATTTACCACTGGGGGGGAACACTATGAAAAGAAAAAAATGAGAACATAGTTTAATCAAAGTAAGTTCATTGTAAACAGTGAGTTTTTCAAAAGTGTATTTTATAAAACTCTATGCACCTGTGTTGTCATAAGTTTGTGTGGATAACTGTGTTTAATTTAGGTCTCTGGGCTAGTAAAACCAAGTCACTCAATTGTTTTAGTTGGCCTTTTAATAGCCATGATTTTAATTCTGTCCACTGTCACTTTGATTAAGACTGTCCAAAAGAATGTATGCTTTGCTTTCTGGCTTTCACTATCACATTCCCTACATTGTTTTCTCTAACATTTCCCCTTCTATACACACCTATAATATCTTGCATCAGAATTTGCTGAATGATTGGTCGTGAAGTAGTATAAACCCTTGTGATTCTAAAGCTATAACCCTGTAAAGATGAGTATAAATTAGGAAGTCTATGGTTTATTCTTTTTTTAATTCATTAAGTTTATTAGTACATTTCAGGTATACATTATAATCACATTCATTATTGGGAATTTTACCTGTACATGATATATTTGGGTTTTATTTTTCTCCTTTCCTCTGTTAAACCCATCCACCTCTCCCTATTTACATAAGCTTTGTTTCCTGTTTCTTCCTGCTTTTTTCATGTTTTCTTTCCCCTTTTTCCTCCCCTCCCCAGATCCCCTTCCCCTTTGAACATTTTCTTCCTATTTCACAATATCTGTTATACATTTTGATCCTCATTTACATTTTCAGTTTCTCATACCAGAGAAACAATTGGGTATTTACACATGTGTATCAAACTTATTTCATTTAAGAGTATGGTCTTAAGGTGCATCCATTTAGCTTTAAATATCTCTAGTTTGTCATTCTTTGTGGCTGAGTAGTACTCTATTTTATTTGTTTAAAAAAATCACATTTTCTTTATCCAATCTCTGGATGATGGGCATTTAGGCTGTTTCCAAGATTTAGCTATTAAAAACTGTGCCACTATAAACATGGGTATGCATATATAGCTATGGTATGATGTTTTTAATTCTTTCAGGAACATACCCAGAAGTGGAATAGCTGGGTCAAATGGAACCTCTAATCCTAGGTTTTTGAGGACTCTCCACACTGATTTCCACAGTGGTTGTCCACGGTTTCTGATTACTGTCATCAAAGATATTTTGATAGCTGTGTCAGGTTTTGGCTACATTGTTATGTTGCCCCAGATAGACTCACACTTGCAGTCCTCCTGCCTGAGTCTCCCAGAGTGCTGAGATTACAAGTGTGTGCCATCATCTCTAGCTAAAAGTTTGATTGCTAGAGTTGACTTTAAATACGAGAACCCACAATGGAAATTTTAAATATTCTAAATATCATACAGAACTAGAAACATTTAGAAGTACCCAAGAAAAATATTTTTGATAAAGTTTGCTTGCATTGGAAAACCTGAGGTAGTTAATAAAAGGAAAGAAATTAGAAAATGCTCACTCAGATTATCATTATGAATATTTAGGACAGTAATGGCCATCCTTTCAGAGACAAGTGGCCAAACTGCAACCCGGAACCCACTTGTTGATTGCAAACTGCCAATGCTGCAATTAAACCTGAAAACTGAGGTTTTAGTTCGGAAAACAGTAATGCGCACATTAACATCTTTAGTGTTACAGAAAATAGCACCCGTACGATAGGTTCCCCACCACTGATCTTGGACCTTGTTGGATCTCTCAAATTGCAGAATAACTAATCTGTGTGTACTACACATTTATCCCATTTTGATTCTTCAGATTGGATTAAAATGTCAAAGTAAAAAGCAAAATCCACATCAAAAACTAAAAATTATAACTGCAGCAAAAATGTGGTTCTTTGCAAATTTAACATAGATAAGTTAAGCATGAGGTAAAAACCTTTTATCTAATTTCAGCTCCTCACTGGAAAGGAAATCTATGTTTTAGATCACTGATCCCATTGTATCTTGGTTTTTTCCTTTTTATAACATGCCTAAAGCCTTTCAGAAAGAATTTTAGACAGGCTGCCTTTGAATAGGTACCTCTTAATATTTTACCAGTATTCCAAAGACCATGCTCAAATCCCATCTTGGTTTAATTTAGGGTGAATTTTTAAAGGCTTACTATGTGTACAGCATCATTGTGCTTCTAACTTGGAAGAACAAGTGAATGACAGACAAAGTTACTGCTTTCCAAGAACTCACAAATTATAGTTTGAAAAAGAGCAACACTTTTAAGTACAGTATAGTTTACATGTTAGGCAGCCTGGTAGATGTTATATTAATTATATAAAGCAAGTATGATGGGAATTAGGGATAGGAAGTAGTTCTCTCTCCCCAGAACTAGGAAATGCTTCCTACAAATGATGCCCTCAGAGGTGAGCTTGCAAGGATGTGCAGAGTGGAAAAGAGGAATGAATGAGCTTGACTAAAATTCTGAAATGGGAAGCGTGTAGGGCATAGCTGGAGTGAGTGGATTTCCTTTATACCTTCCATTTGAACATGCATCGGATGGGAATTGTTATAGAAACTGCTGTGAATGAATGATCTGAGAAAACCTGCATTATGGAGATACACAGGAGGGAGAAGTAAAGAGAGTCAAGATTTGAGACTGTACACGAAAGAATTCGTACCCTTGTCCTGGGCACTTTCAAGTTCATCCTTAGCAGTGTCAAATGTGAAGTGAGAAGGACAGGTCCAAAGAAGGGTTCCAGATGTTTACTTGAGGGACCATTCTAGTACTCTGTCGCCATAGTAAAGGAGAAAAGGCTGATTTTGTGAGGCTAATTATATATATGACAATTTAACTATGCTAATAGAGAAGAAAAGTGGATTCCTGGGGAAACTCTGTATGGCTGAGAGAAGCTGGGCAGGGAAGTGGTGCACTGTATGGTCTCACTAGGGACCAACTGGAGGAAAAGTGATTCGGAGTCAAAGGAAGAGAACTGTAAAGTTACACCAAGAAGAGAACTGAGACTGTAGACTCAAAAAAAAAATTGAACACCCATCAGATTAGTGGTCAGGACACAAGTAAACTGTAGTTTTGATAAAGAAATAATGGGGGAAAACAGGATACAAGTATTAAAAGATTAGTGTAAATGCTAGAGGGGAAGAGCTTTGTTTTATTTTTAAAGTAAAATTTATTGTATCGGTGCATTTACAGTACACGATGATAGCATTCCTTGTGGGGAGCTGGTACAGGTACATGAGATACCTGACTTCTTTTTTCATCCCCTTTTCCCACCTCCATCACTTGGTCCTCTTCCTTTATGAAAAAAGATCTATCTCCTTGTTTTCTTTTGTCGTTATATTTTGCTTTACAATTACTGATTTTGGAAATTTCCCATAGAAGAGACATCACAAGATATTTAAGCTTGTGTGTCAGATTGGCTTTGAAAAGCAGGTGGAGCCAGGTATGGTGTACATGGCTGTAATCCTAGCACTGAGGCCCTAGATCCTTGTGACTTTGGGACTCTCATGGGCTCCATAGTGACTTCCAGAACAGCCAGGACGACATAGTGCGATCCTGTCTCTAAAACAAATATAAATATATAATATGTGTGTGTGTGTGTGTATTCACACACACACACACACACACACAAACACATCTATATATATTTATATATATGAGAGGTAGGATTGTAGGAAGAGGTGGCAGCAAAGTAAGTGAAATTTCTTTCGTGCTGAGGTAAAATGGGAATTTTAATAATTACAGACAAAAAGGATAAATATGGAAACCTTATGTTGAAATTTTTCAATAAGGAGCTGGTTAAGGACTGACAAAGCAGTGCAGTTCCAGGAAGGGTCTACACTCCCTAAGTAGTATCCTGGAAACCTGCACATAGCTTTTCCCTTACACAGAACAACCCCCTCACTTCCTCCCCACCCCAGCCATTTATACTACTTCAGAAAGGTAGGCCGTATTCTCAAGTGAACTGCTCACTGGATAAACCACCAGAAAGCACTAGAAAGATAGCAAAGACATCCATCTATTACTAAATGGTACTGCCAAATGAAAACACATGCCATGACTCTAATGAATTCAGCTTTCTTGATAGAGATGGAGGGCCTAAATTTGAGACTGTCATACCAGGAAATCTTGAATGGTACACAGCTCAGAAATAGATGTCGTTTTTAGATATCTAAAGGGGAGGTGTTGGAGCATCAAAAACTACATAGTAGAAAATGTAGAGATGTCTCAAATGTATGTTAGCCTGGACT